ATTTGAAATGAAAGATCTTGGAAGAACAAAGCTTTGCCTTGGCTTGCAAAATGAGCACTTGGCAAATGGAATTTTCCTCCATCAATCAACTTATACTGAAAAAGTATTAAAGCGATTTTATATGGATAGGGCACATCCGTTATCTACTCCTATGGTTGTAAGATCACTGGATAAGGATAAAGATCCTTTTCGTCCTCAAGAAGATAAGGAAGAACTTCTTGGTCCTGAAGTACCATATCTTAGTGCCATAGGTGCATTAATGTATCTTGCTAATTCAACACGACCTGATATTGCATTTGCTGTTAGTTTATTGGCAAGATTTAGTTCTTTCCCAACAAGAAGGCATTGGAATGGAATTAAGCATATATTTCGATATCTTCGAGGGACAATTGATATGGGATTATTTTACTCTAATGAATCAGAATTACAATTAATTGGCTATGCAGACGCAGGATTTCTGTCAGATCCACATAAAGGCAAGTCTCAAACAGGATATTTATTTATTTGTGGAGGTACAGCTATCTCATGGCGTTCAACAAAACAAACTTTATCAGCTACCTCATCAAATCATGCGGAAATAATTGCAATTCATGAGGCAAGTCGAGAATGTGTTTGGCTGAGGTCAGTGACTCAACATATTCAAAAAATGTGTGGTTTTTCCCTTGAACAGAAGATTCCAACAGTATTATATGAAGACAATACAGCATGCATAGCTCAATTAAATGGAAGATATATTAAAGGAGACAGAACAAAACATATTTCTCCAAAGTTCTTCTTCACTCATGATCTTTTGAAAAGTGGTGATATAGATGTTCAACAAATTCGCTCATGTGACAACCTTGCTGATTTGTTTACCAAGACACTGCCGACTAGAACATTTGAGAAGTTAGTGTATGATGTTTTCATTAGGGGGAGTAAATATTGTGTACTCTTTTTCCTTCACTAGGTTTTTGTCCCAATGGGTTTTTCCTAGTAAGGTTTTAATGAGGCACAATACTCATTATGGACATCTAAGGGGGAGTGTTATGAATATTGTATAAGTGGATGTCCATAACCCCTAACCCTTAGAATTCTCATAGGATTCCTTACCTTCAAGTGTCATAAACTACATAACCTCCCTAATGAATGACTTGGGAGGAGTTTCTCATTGTTAATGCTATTATGATGTTCTTTATTCCTTTGTAACCTTAGTATAGAACTTCAATGCTTGGAGGCCTATAAATAGAGGGCATACATGAGGCATTTGTACCTTGAACCAAAGTGAATGAGAAAAGGCCATTGTCTTTTCTATCTCGCTTTCTTTTCTACTCTTCATTCTCTCTATTTCTTGTAGTTTTATAACAAGGTGATTAATTAATTTTTTTTAAAACACTTAAGGATAACATAATAATAAATTTGATGGTAGCATGTCAAGCTGATGGGATTGTATTTACAAGTTGCAAGTTCAATGCGTGCACACCGAAATAGGAAAAAGAAGAAAAAGCGTGTGGGGGACACTCTGGGCAAGAAGGCTGGTCCCCTACAGGCCTGTGGCCAGACTATTTTGCACTCTTGCTATGGCGAATAAAAGGTGTTGGGCATGAATGTGGACAACTGCTGGGCCTACCGTTTGGTAAAAGGAATTGATGAAACATGTGCCATTATTGCGAAGAGATAACATTTCCAGAGCCAGTCAAACAAATCGGATCTTTTTTTCTGCGAAAAAATCATCAGTATCCCTTATCCATTTCCAGTGGATATAAGGAATATTCATAAATATATTTTTTTTCTTGAATAAAGATAATTTATGTACGTGTTCTTATGTTATATCAATATATCAATCTGCAGATGTTTTCATCATTTTTTTTTATTTATTTGTTTGTCGGCACTCTTACAATGTGTAATGCGTTTGTCAGCTCTACGTCTAATTCAAAACAGAAACTTCTCACTATTGGCAGTGTTTTTTTTTTTTTTAAGAAAAGGGCAACCCTATCAGTAGAATGGGATCATAGCTGTTGGCCCAAAAAAGAATGGGTTTAGGGCATTGGATACATGAACGGATGACGACTCCAGAGGGCATTTTCGTTCCCCACTCTGGTTTTTGGGCTAACATCACAATTAGATTGGGCCATATGATATCATCGCTTGGCAGGCCCAACTATCCAGAAGGGCTTTCCTTTAATTAGCACTTTATATTGCACCTGCCACCTGGGGCGTAGGACTCGCTGGTGGGTGTACGGTCCCTTTCTTTGTCTCCGGGTTCGTGTTCTTTTGTCAACTTGGCAACAGTTGTTGGATGATTACACTTAGGCCACGTTTGATATGTATACAATTATAAGGGAAAACCATATTGAAGGTACCTATACTTTCTCTCAATTTTCAATTTGGTACCTATGTGTTTTTTGTTCTTAACTAAATCTTTATTTTTCCTCTATTAACATCATTAATCCTTATGTAGAGACTAAAAATATCAATAAAACAAAGTTATAAGAGCTAATGTTGCTAAAAAGATAAAATTAAATGTTTAATTAAAGAGAAAAAAACATATAGGTACCAAATTAAAAATTGAGAGAAAGTATAGGTACCTCCAATATGGTTTTCCCCAATTATAATTGCAAGAATTACAATTACACCCCAAGAAAGAGATTTAATTACTTTAAAAATCTATTAACAAATAAAGAGTAAGCAATAATAAGTTTCAAAATAAAAAATGACAACAGGTTCAGGTTCAGACTAATCACTTTTTATTAAAAAATTTTGGTAATTAAATTTTTTTTCCTTGAGATCTCTTAGTACTTGTCCCTATGATAATGGCCACTCACTGAATAATATTTTCTCGGGAGAATGACACTTCAGTCCCTTTGATATTTGTCCAGAAAAACTTCCATTCATGCCATTCCACTATATGTATCCAACCGCCACGTATATTCGTTTCAAAGCCCGTTATATGAAATGTACTATACGTAAATTGATATGCATATGAGCATCAAAAGGGGTGATAGTGATACAACATAATTCTCCGTATTAGGATTTTTCATGAGGTCAATGTCCAAACTCGGTGGAAACTGCAAAAGGGTAGGGATGAGGCCGCATTCATTGGCCGTGTTATTCGCTTCGCCTTATGATGGAATTGGAAATAACATTTATAGCCGTCTCATCCCAGATGTCACCCTGTTCTAAACTCATGAAAACCAATTAAATCCCATTTAATCCAACTCGATTATATTTAATTGATAATGTTTTTTTCCAAACAAGTTGAAAATGATTTCAAGCCCTATTCAAGAGTCATTCAAAAATCGTTTTACCGTGATGCAAATCGACTAAAAAAATGGAATTTTGTGTAAACCCTTGGTTTTTACCCAGAATCGAACCAAATTGAACTTTTAAACATCCGTATAAGAGGGCAAGCAGCAATAACAGGAAGAACGAAAACAATAAACACATCATGTGCACTTTAAGAGTGACAAAAGCAACTACGTGCATAGTTGCACCATAAGAATACAATCATAAATTTGTGAGTATTCGTCAGTAAAGTGTTCAGGTATTAGTCTAACAATGAAATCATAATGACACAAAAGCTACAGTTTAATATTCAAAAAATTACAGATATCTATATTAAAACGAAATTTTTAAATCATTCCAACATACCATACTTACAAAAAATAGATCACCATTTGCATTTGCAGCAGATCAGGACGGAAAGAACAAAAGATTCAATGACATAGTGTGTCCTTTGATATTGAATTTGGTCAGCTACCTCTCCTCCTCCTCATTCAATAGTGCCAACGTTTGCCAAAACGACACTGCCCTATGTATGACAGTGACTTTGGGAGGGAGTTTGGTATACTAAAAAAACACTTAAAAATTGTTTTTATGTAAATTGAGATAGAACTCTTTTTATCTACTCATCTCATGCTTTTTAAAATCACTTATAAAAAGCTAATCCAAACACTTTTTTTTTTTAAATCTTATTTCATTGTAGGTCTTGAGATGTTCAACTTATCTCAATGAAATACTTGCCTTGCCGTTTACTTCGCTCAAAAGTGACTCAAATTGAAGGAGCTAATTAGTAAACCATCACTTTGTTGATTCAGATGTTGAGAAATTAAATATTTAGCGACTGTGTTCATTTTGTGAAACAAAGCTGTTGTTAGCGATCGATGGCGACTTGCAAGCAATTCTATTAAGGTAAGTCTATTAGAAGTAAGAAATCACTGCCCATATCTACCCAGATGTTTTTTTTTTTTCCTGCCACTATTTTGCTGGAAAACCAACATGGATTGGCATTTGGAAATGTAATGTTTGCCCGTAATTCTTCCTGTAAAATAAAGCATAGAAGTCCAGATCCAAAGCACACGAAATAAAGGGGAAAACGTGGTGGTCCTGAGTGGACAATCAAACTGTACTCTATAAACAGCTAACTAGTGGTAGTAGTACGCAAATAAAAGAAAGAGTGTACGAAGTGTCAATTTATAATTATTTTGTTTAAATCTGGCGAAACATTACATTAAACTTGGTTGATTAGTTTAATTTGCAGTACCACTTCGTTCCTTACTTCAGCAAATCCAGTGAACCTATCGTCCTCTGAAGCTCTCTCGATATTATCAGCTCTTTAATCAATACTTCAATTATACTCAGCTAACTCTTGTGCGCCCTTCACATAAATCTGGATTTGTGGAGTTGTGGGGTCTTACATTCAACCAAAGTTGCTCTTAAATTGCTTCTACGTTTGTACCTTTTTGATCCATTAAACCTTCTAACTTCTCCACCTACCTAACCATCAATGTCACTCTCTGAAAAATTTCCCTTGTAGACAATAAGAATCTAACTGCTTCTGTGAGAATGGATCTCCATGAAAATCTGCAGAGTAATATCTCCACAAATATCTACTTCTGCTGAGATATTTTCAACGTGAACTGGTCTGATAGAAACTCTAATATCTACAGAATTTCCAGAGATCCAGCTCATTTACTACAAAAAACGATCAAATCATAGAGTCATGCTGTGAGAATAGCAGTAAAAAGGTTGGATTTTTCTTTTACCATAATCTTCATACATACAGCAGACGGTACATCACTAATCTTCCGAGGAATCCCAGAAGGGAAAGATGATCAATTCCCTCTGTACAACCAAAAAGAAAAGAAACTCACAGATCAAACAATGCGTCATCAAGAAGACAATTGTTTCAGAGATATCTTTGCAAGGTGATAGTACCACGTAATGCAAACAAGAAAGACATAATTGGGTGGTGCTCGTTATCATTATTGTCATCATAATTCACCTGATTCCGAAGCCGTCGATAACTGGTCACGACATCTTCTGGAAGGACTCTGTTCCTACAGAGAGGACAAGTGGCCCAAAACTGAAGCAACCATCGGTCCAAGCATTCCTTGTGAAATGTGTGTTTACATTTCAAGTTCCTGACATTTTCGCCTTCTCGAAGCTCAGATAAGCAAACCCTGCACTCTAGTTGGTCCGCCATATTCAGTGTTCTGGTGAAACAAACGGTGGGGCTTTTCTCTTCAATGAGTTGGAGGTACTGGGAGATGGTAATTGGAGGGGTGTGTGTTTTGAGTTTTCGAATGAGGATGATGAATTCTATAAGCAGGAAGACCAGCAGGACGACGGTCTTTGCGTAGAGATGAAAGAAGAAATCTGAGAGAGCTTTCATGGCCGTGGCTACCAAATGTTAATGGTAATGCATTCCAAAACGCAAAATTGTGTTGTTTATAGATGGAACAGGGAATGTATCAAGCTGGTCTTATGGTGGAGTCCATATGGGGCACTGCTCAACCTTTAATTCATTTAGATAATTCTGATTTTAACTTTTAAGTTCAATATGCTATCATTTGAAAAATTAATAGTTAAGATCTCTTTTTATTACATATTTACAATTATTAAAAACTAAATATTTTAAAATCAGAAGACGAAAATAAAAAATAAATATACACGATTTAATTTTGATTTGAATAACACAGATTTTTTTTTTTTGCCAGAGTGAATAACAAATTTTTTTAATATAAAGTCATGAAAAATCATGGAAAGGAAAATAAATAAATAAAACTAAGTCAGATCATAATAAGATATTTATATCTTCAATTCTTCATAGAGGCTATTATGGAACATAATGATATCATCCATATATTAAACTAGATAAGCGGGCTAATTTACATATGGCATAACTATTTGACTATACTATGACAGCCTTTTTTTTTTTTTTCTTGGCCAATCTAATCTATTGTAATATTGCTTTTAACATTGGTGATGATATTTTTTAGCAGATTATTTAAAGATAACATATTTAAGAATATGCTATATTCCTATGCATCCTTCATCATTGGTGAATATATCATTAATGCCAGCAAAGGATGCACCGGCTTGGGTGCGGGAATAGTCGCTGGAATTTTTATACAAGGGGTCCCACAGTCACGCTGCCTAGGTGAATAGAAACCATTGTCTATTTATGATAATTTACAAGAAATTATGTCATTTTAAAATTATAAGTAATACGACACTGTTTATTCCAAATCTCATATCTAGTCTAGGACTTATACCGTGTGTTTGGATGGCAAAAATATAATTAAAAGGAAAGAATATTAGGAGAAAAAAACTCCTAAAAACAATAAATATTTGAAATTTGTTTATTTTAAAAATTTTCTTTTTTATTTTTTTATAATAAGGGAAAGCACGAAAACCTACGCTATAGCAAAATTTTCTTTCTTACTATTCCTTCTCTGTTTCTTTTTCATTCAAATGTAATTTGAGTTTAGGGGTTGCTGTCTTCTTATACTTTTTCATTAATTATAATTTTTTTCTAAAATATGTATTTTTATGTTAACAACTACTACCTCATGTTTTTAATATAAGAACTTTTTTTACGGTTATTTTTGTCCTAAATATAATGTCTCGATTTGTTTTATTTTTTATATTTATCTATTTTTTTCAAAGTAATTCTTATAATAATATTAATTTTAGCTCATACATGTTTTAAGAAAAACAACACCTATATATTATAAATAACTATATAACTATTTTTTAATTTACTTAAATCAGTCCATTCATATAATATACCACACTCAAACTTTTATGTCAACCTATGTGGGTCCCCATTTGGTGCTCAATTCATCACCCTGTGCGTGATGAGCACCCAGTACTCATCAGCTGATGAGTAATTTGGACCGTTCAGATTTAATATTTTTAAATAATTATTTGAAAATAGAAAAAATTATATTTTAAAAAATAATAGTTAAGAGATTATCTTTATTTTTTATCTTATACCTGTTAAAATTATTATTTAAAAAAAATAAAATTAAAACTAAATCTAGACTATCCAGATCAGATCTCGACCCTTTAGATCCGATGAGTATGGGTGCTTATCAGTTTGCAGATCCAACCTACGTGGGCTGGGTCCGAAATGAAATCCGCCTCGGCTCTTCCCATGTTTAATGCGAATGGGTAACTAGGCCAACGAATCAAAATTTTTCACGAAAGTTCGGCCGGGAATCTGATGAATCTTCGGACACGCCATTCCCATGCTATTGGATCTTATGAAATCCTACTCATTTAAGTTTCTGGCCAGTTTACTTACATACTTGTCTGCTCATATTCTTCCAAATTCGCGTATTTTTCTCCATGGATGTCCAGCCTCAACCCGTTGTTCTCATCACCGGCTGCTCTCAGGGAGGCATAGGACATGCTCTCGCACGCGCCTTCGCCGCCTCCCGCTGTACAGTGGTGGCTACCAGTAGGTCGCGCTCATCCATGGCGGATCTGGATCAAGACCCCAGATTTTTCTTGCAAGAGCTCGATGTTCTGTCGGATGACAGCATCAACCGTACTCTCAACAACGTCCTAAACAAGTACGGTCGGATCGATGTTTTGGTTAATAACGCCGGTGTTCAATGCGTCGGCCCACTTGCCGAGGTCCCTCTCCCCGCCATCCACCACACTTTTGACACTAACGTTTTTGGTTCGTATCATGATCACTTCAAGTTCTCTCTGCGTTGTGAATTGTTCTGTAGTTCTGCCGATTACACTCAAACCTTTAAGTGATAGGAGCAATTTGGTTGTGCGGGTGTATGTTTCCAGGCCCTATATGATTTTTTTTTTTTGGAGGTTTTAAGGATTTGACATTCAAGCATATGGAGTTGCTTATTTACGAATTTGCTATGTAGCGTTGACTTGTATGGATCAAAGATTTAAAGTATCTTGGGATGAACTATGAAACAGAGGGCACAGTAGCTTCAGGAATTCTGGGTTGGTGGGAATACTTGTTTGAAGCCTACTAGAAGAAGAGATTGGAAGGAAAGTTGTGCGAATAGTCTCTGAGAAGTTGGCAACACTTGTTTAAGCTTAGTCACTCTTATTTCAAACCTCAAGTGTAGTTATTTTCATGTACTAAAACTAACTCTTTAATATCATGGTGTCTCATGAACTAATACTACTTTTCAAATTGAAACCGACCATTTATAAAGACCAACATTCTTCCCAGTCCTACCTAGTATGTGAAATTTCTATCTTTGCATAGTACAAGAGGACCGGTATAATAACAGAGCATTATTTGTCATTGCCAAATGCCAATAAAAGACCGCATGTTCCACGTTTCTCTCACATTTGCAGGCCCCCTGAAGTTGATTCAAGCCTGTGTTCCTCATATGGCGGCTAGGAAACAGGGAAAGATTGTAAACATTGGCAGTGTAACTGCTATGGCCCCAGGCCCATGGTCTGGTGCTTACACTTCCTCCAAAGCTGCTCTTCACGCTTTAACAGATACGCTCAGGTAACTTGCTTGTCCTTCAAACTTGTTTCATAGAATTTGTGTTCAAAGTTGCTTAAAATGGTGCTCGGATATAATCAAAATTATAGTTTTAAGAGTGATTTTACAGTATAGGAAATAATTATTCAGAGAAGTTTATCATGATTTGTGTAAAAATGTTTTTAAGTAGCCAAACACCCCTAAATCTACTATAGTGACAATTCACAATAGTATCGGTGACAAAAGTCGGTTGTGCATAACCTCACTTCAACCTAATTGATTTTTTTTTTTCCTTTTTTGGATACATTAATGTGATTTACAGGTTGGAACTGAGCCATTTTGGAATTGATGTCGTGACTGTGGTCCCTGGAGCTATAAAGTCAAATATTGGACATTCTGCAGCAGCTAGCTACGACCGCATGCCTGAACGGAACTTATTCAAGCCTTTTGAAGCTGCCATCCGAGAGAGAGCTTACTTTTCCCAGAAATCCAAGTCCACCCCTACGGACGAATTCGCTAAACAGACTGTAGCTGCCATCCTGAGGAAGAAACCACCTGCATGGTTCTCCCATGGCCATCACTCTTTCGTCATGACCATCATGTACCATTTGCCACTCTTTGTTAGAGATTTTATTTTAAGGAAAGCAATGAAATGTTGACCACTTGAGCTGCTTATATGTTACTGTCCAACAGAACCAAAAAAAATAAAATAATAATAATAATAGAGCTACATATATCTTGCTTTTGTATGAACTATTTTCACCGAATCACTGTCGATGTGCTTCGGGTCAGCTCTCCCCTGTTAACTAGCATGCAAGAGAGATACCACCCTTACTTAAGGGGATGTGTCTATAACTATTTTTTTGGGGCAAAATATGTTGGTTAATGTTATAATTAATGAATGATAAATAAATTGAACACAGATACTTGCGGCAGTGACCCGATGCTTCGGGGACAAGCAAGTTCGCCAAAGCTGAGGCCCGATAATGCATCTTTAATTAAAATCAATTCTTTGAAACCCTGCCAATTATGGCTAGAAAAAGGAAAGGAAAGGAAAGGAAAGGAAAGGAAAGGAAAGAAACCCAGGCAGTCTTAATTCTCAGACCATTAAACAAAGATGAATGCTAGGGCAGTGCCTGACATTTAGGTCAGGCAAAGGGAAAAAAAGCTGAGCAGGAAGATAAGAGGGCCATGCCTTGGGCTTTTATGTCCCACACGGCGTTTGTTACGTGAATGGTCTACGGCGATAAGAAACTGTCATGCTACCTTGCTTCTTAACGCGAGACTTTCGTCTGATTTTCATTTTAATCTTAAATATTATAATTTATTTTATTTTTTATATTTATTTATTTATTTTTAAAATAATCTTTCTAATAATAATAGTTCTAACTAATAAACTTGATTAGTAAAAATATTTTAAAAAAAGACAACACTTATTTATTACAAATAACTAACTTAATTTATTTTCTTAATCTACTCAAATTAGTCAATTAGCTCTTATATTTAGGATAAAAATAATATCAAATTTAATAATTTAGACTTAAGAGTTCATAAAAATATGCTTGTTTCTCGATTGAAGAGTTTTCTTTAAAGATTCGTCCTTCCGTGTTCATAGTCCATTCTCTAATCTCGGTGCTCGTCATCTCCTCACTTCATCGATATCTCCGGTGCACTCATTTCCTTACCCCTCTCTCCCTCATTGCTGCTTCCTCATTCCTCCAACATTTCTAGTCCCCAGTCTCTCCTTCCTCCCTTTTCAATCCTCAATCGGTGAGTCATCAATCTATACTCTCTCTTCCTAACTGATTAGTTTAGTCAATTTTTCAACTGAAATCTAATTTGTACCATTTAGTGGCTTTTCGTGTATACAATTTAGTGGGTAAGGACAGCGGCTTTGGTGGCGCCGTTTGATAGAGCTACGAAGTTATGAAAACAAGAGAGCTTGTCTTTAGTTTGAGTTCAATTCAGGTATGGCATTATGCTTCTTCCACAATGTTGAAAACTTCCTTTAACGTTGCTCTCCTCTGTCTTGCTACTTTTATGAATGATAGTTTGATATGCTCTGTTGCTTTATCTAACTACTATATTATTCATGTCGTTGAAATGTACTTAGAGACTCAACCTGAATGTCGGCTTTTAAGACTTGCTCAGATGGGTCTTGGACATGAAGGAGCTCATCTTCATGGGAGAGAGTTTTGAAATTGGGTCTTGAAAATGATGGATTTATTCGTAGTTGACTGGTGTATATTTATGCGAATAGTGGGCTCTTCAGTGAAGCGAAGAGAGTGTTTGATGGTCTCGTTGATGTTATAATTTTGAACTCATTGATCATAGGTCCTTCTAAATGGAGGGAAACTGAAGAGGCCAAGAACCTGTTTGATGAAATGCTTACAAGAGCCTCTGTCACAAGGAATTCTATGATTAGCGGGTCTGTAAGAAACGGGAAACTGATGGAGGCATTATTAGAGCTTTTCCACAGGATGCAGGAAGAAGGGATTGAGCCTAGTGAGAATGCTTGTGCTCATCGGCTCACTTCAACAAGGGAAATGGATTCATGATTGTATAAGAACGACTTTGAGTTTAACGTTATTGTTGTAACAGCAATAATTGACATATATTGCTAATGTGGATCTATTGAAAATGCTCTCTCCAGGTGTTTGAGGAGTGATGGATAAATATGAGATCAAACCATCATTTAAACATTACGGTTGCATGATTGCAGTGCTAGGCCAAGCTGAACTACTGGAAGAGGTAGAAGAATATCTGTTTTATGATTTTTCTTTTACATTAATATTTCAGATTTATCTTGCACATTCTATAGTAACAGCTTTAATCAATATAGATGATCGAGCTTATAATGAATATTTCAGATTTATCTTGCTACTGGACTGTTTATGATTCCTGTTCTGTCTCGTTTGAATTATGAATAATGCATGTAATCATGTATGATGCATTATATGTTGTCATTGTTATGTTTCTTGTACCACCTGTTTCTTATTTGAAGCTGCAAAGGCTGTGATTGTATTAAAAAACAGTGACATTCAATATATGATTTTAAAAACAATTATTCCAAACAACTTTTTGTATTTTTTGTTTTTAAATATAATTTTTTAAAATAAACATCCAAACAGATTTTTGTTTTTTTGGTTTCAAAAATTGTTCTAGAAAACAGTTTTATAAAATGTTTTGAAAACAAAAAACAAAAAAAACAAAACCAAACAGGCCCTAAATTTCTGCATTACTAGAATTTGACCTAATCACTCCCAAACCGAAGCCAAATGCAGCGGGAAAAATACGGCAAGGAGAAACCGGACTCTCATATAATCACATTGCACGATATTACGGGAGCTGGATCTCCACTCTGTGACATCATGACCCCCTAACCGTATCCAATGTTCGGGATTTCTCAGATGAAACCGATTCTCTGTTTTCTTCTTCAGTATCATCAGATGGGGATATCTTCGCTGAAGTCCCAAACTGAGGCGGACAAATTTCAGGAGAATCGTACTGGAAAGCCAACCAAACCAGGTAACATCGACGTAACGAATCTGCACGACAATAAATCCATGGTCAGACTTAAACCCTCACATCAATCCTCTCGTCCAACATAATCATGTCTTGGAGATGTTCCCTGGAACTAGTTCAACTTCAAACCATTTGATTTTCTTTTATTTAAGAAAGACTACTCAATTGGATCCCGCTATGATGATGCGACACAACACATATCCGAGTCTCATCCCATGAAAAATATCGAAAACCAGATGCTTCCATTGGCGACGACAGTTTCCTCACAGGAGGCAGACACCGGCAGAGTGCAGGCCTTGGCTTGAGTGGGTCCTCATCGTTTGGCTTTAACGGTAAGATTTGGCCGTGTAGAATACGTAAAACGCCAACTTTTACACGTGGCACTATGATGGTCTCATTTCTCATGGGCTGGCCGTGTAGATACGCTTTGTGCGCGCGCGCTTTAATTGGTTTTCTGAAGCCTTGGATTGGGGTATGAAAAATAATAGGAAAATACTCTTGACCCCTATGATATCCAACAATTTGAATTTTTTTTAACTCGAATGTTGTGGTTTGAAAATGTTTCAAATGCTCTCAGATTCCTAGTGTGTAAAGCCTAGCAGTTAAGCATAACGACAATGAAGCTGTGATTTTTATTCTAAAACGGAACAAAGTCACCAAAAACTACATTCAAAATGCAAGAAGAAAATCGAAACATACATTCAAAATGCAAAGGAATGAGAGAGCGTAAACGTAATTACTGCAAGCTAGCACTTCCGTCACCTCTTCATATTTAAAATGACAGGTAATGAATATAAAAGGCGAAATTTGATAGATAATAGCAAATCGCGAGCTGGGAACTATATGACACCTTGTGTACTAAAATCGAAGCTAGCCAATATATTTGGGGCATTGTGCACGTCTCCAGATTACTTCTAAGATGGCAGCATGCTGTGAGCGAGATCGAACAATGGATATTTTAACATCCACTTACTCGCTTTCTTCATCACTCTCGATTCGATTCAAATGATTCATGTTCATTTCAATAGGTGGAAGATCATCTTCAGAATCAGAGGAGCCTTGACGCTCAATTTCGTGTGCCACAGCTATCCATGCAGAGGCAGAAAGACGCATAAATTAGATACAAAAATAAATGTTATTAGATAACAGATAAAAAAAATACAACTAAGTTATCAATCAAATCTCTCTCTCCATGTCAGAAATAGACTTTCCTAAAACAACTATAAGTCCGTGAGCATATGCAAGAACACAGACACTCCCATGTATATGCACATGTAAAAGACAAAACCTTTCTTAAGTTGCCTTAAAAAAAGTTGGAATAAATTACAGGCTGATCTTGAATTTTAATGAGATCATACACTTCTGCTAGCTTTTCAAAATATACATTTCATTCTTCTTTTCCTCAAATAAATCCCATAATATAATTGAGAGGGGTGTACATAAGGCACTTTATTTTAAAAAAAAAAAAAATCTTAAAATTGGACTAAAATGTAAAAACTTTTTATTTTAGAGAAGTTACATAAATTTCCTCAAAAGTTAAAGTCATGCAACAGGCATATAATGTATAGAAAAGAGAGTTCACAAAGGATGAGCGACAACAAGTCAAGGTATCGTAGTGAATCCATTAGTTCTCTGATTCTCTCAACAAAAGCAGATGACATGTCTTCCTTGCTACATGCCAAAAGGCCACATTCAAGAGAATGGGCGGAACACTAAATTCAAACAGGCCAGAAAAATTGACTTGGATATCATTGGTCACTAATCCCCTATTATGCAGAGAAAAGTTAAGAGCAAAAGAACCTTCACCATCTAAACGAGTCCTTTGAATCTGACTTTGTTGTGACAGCCAAGCATTTTGAACA